TAGTTTTTGTACCAACAAAATAGAGCGGACTGTGATTGCTGAAAAGACCTGCAGACACGGAAATAACTACTGAGGGCACTGCTTACTCAAATCCGAACCATGGAAGTGAAAGTCACACTTTAATGATTCCTTACTTGGAAAAATAATTTAAATATATATATATATATATATATATATATATTATCATTCATAATTTTCTCTTTTTAGGAAAAAACATCTTAAACCATCTAGAATCTTTTGAAATCCAGCAGCTCTGTGAACAATACAATGAAGTATGTGAACCCAAAAATCAACTTTTCAAAGTTCTACGTCATCCTGCACAAAGTTTCAAAATTATATTTAAATTGAAGTCTAATTTTAGTTTTTATATAAAAAAAAATGTTTACTTCAATATCGTGCAGAATGAAGTGTAATTTGAAAACTTAAGTTTAAGCATGGTGAAGTAGGACTACAATTTTTTAGCATAATATTCAGCAAAAAGATACTTAATATGAAGTATAACTATGAGTACAAACTTTAATCTGCATAGAATTATCAAAAGTCACAAAGATACATTCTTTGCTACCTGGAACTAACAAGTAAACCACTGTATTTGGCAACCTGCGTAAACCATGCCTGATAGAGAATAATACAACCTGGATCAAAATCTGTATAAACAAGAAGGAAATTCCAATTTTATGCAAAAAAAAGGAAAACTTTACCGAATATCATCAAGAATTTCCACAAATCTTTCATTTCCATCCTCTACAGGAGGCAAGTCCAATGCACGTTGTAGCCATCCAATGTCGTCTGCTGAGCCACGAACAGTCCTCCTCACTCGCTCAATAAGGCTGCAAGAGAACATGATCAAGAATTCACAATGAGATATGAGAATTTTATAATTTCCGGTATAAGAAGCAAAATGGCCAGCCTCCAGGTAAAGCAAGAAAGGTTCCAAAAGGAAAAAGTTGATAATAGTCACTAACCTATACTTTAAGATTCCAAGTTAAAATAGAACAATCTGCAAGTAATCTAATGAATATTGCTCCATAATGATTAAGTAATGCCACATTCCAGAATCAACACTTTAAGCTACTTTTTGTTGAGGTGACAAGCACGTTGAAAACAGGGGAAGCAGAATAGTGATGACTTGTCACGTAAGTAAAGAAAGGTATCTGGGAAGAAAACATTGGGGATCAAGCAACCACTCAATTTGACACCAGGCAGAAAATGCAACTTAGCGTAAAACATATTCTACTTAGACTGGAAAATCAGTACCCTTGGAACATAGGAATGCTACTTTGGCTGCTATTAGCTGTATTGACAAGCACACTAGAATTTTGAGATGAGTCACCAATTAAGCCAGTAGCTATCTCATCATGGGCTGATGGGGCACCTTGAGCTGCATAAGATGATTCAACATGTGATAGAGTACTCCCACGTGAAGACACATAATTACTGTCTAAATGTCCCCTAGTTTCTCCAGACACCAATGTAACCATTTCTCTTCCACCAGGATCATCTGGTGCACGATCAACTGTAACACAGGTTAGAAAAAGACACGCATCAGGTTTTGTAGTTCTGCTCATGACTGGCAGAAGTGGATAAAGTTTAGTAGTACAAGCAGATTGATGACACCATTGCAGTATACAGATAACAACACAGACAGAGATAATAAGTAAAGACAAGAAAGGGAAAGAAGTATGACAGGAATTAGATATCTAAAATAGAAATTAGCAAGCAAACCCTCAGTAAATCAAGGACTACTTTCTCTTACCAATCCTCTCAGACAAAAATTAAATGGGTAACCCCAGACCTTCACTGAGCTTATGAACAAGAAGGTTGAAAGAAATGATTCAACATATCTCATAACTTTCACTGAAAGAATTGTTCATGTTGTCTAGAGATGATATAGTTCGTGACTAGATACTTTGATATCGCAAACCTATAGTATCATATCTGCCTTTTACCAGGTTAATCCTTGGCATCTAAAGTAAGACAACTATAATTCAGCAATGCTTATACATGATAGCTGTACACAACACACAGGGACATGTATGTATACATAAAGGAAAAGGGCTAATTACAATTTTTTTAAAAAAAAAAACTTACCAGAAAAATCAGAAAAACAGCTAGTAAATAGTGAAGTCGTCTCTGCTAAATAAGAGGCAGCGTCATTAAGTGATGGTACAGAGGTAAAAAGCTGGGGAAAGAGCCAATCATTTCTCAAGGCATCACCACTAGCCTGAAAAAATGACAGTTAGTAGAAAAGTTACACACCATGATTTTAGAGGCTTTATAGCAAACAGACAAGCACATGTACACTACCACAACTCTAGAAAAAGGTAAATATTGAAGATAACAAGAAGGAAAGAAATCTATTCTTTCACTAGATCTCCTTAGACCTACACTAACAGAAGGAAACAGGGAAATACCACAAAACTTGAAAAGGACAATTCAGGGCTCTAATATATCCCCTCATGTAAGGTCAGTTCTCTCACACTAGAAATGTAGAATCAGTAGAATTTTTAATAATTAAGACAAAATCAAGTAGCGAGTATAAGGATTAATTGTTCCCTACAAGTGACAAACACAGTAACTTGATGACTTGGGTAATTTGAAGAACTCGTGGAAAGATAATATTCAGTTAGACACATGGCATAGTAAAATACTCTCTCATACGCAACCAACTCATTGTCAGCAACAGCTTGACAACTGGCAGTCCGCCGTCAAATATTCTCTTTATACTCACTGTTTCACCAAGCAGGCACCACAGTATGTGTTACTATACCCACTGCAGACAACTCATACTACACTAGTCAAGAGAAATGGTTCTCCCCTACCACTCTAGCAATCTAGCAGAGCAACTACGCAGGGTTCATGCTGGTCAGCCAAGAGGGCATGCTCAACAATGCGAAACACACTCAAGTGAAACACCACTGTAGCATCACCACATTATGTTAGTTCAAACCTAATCAAATCAGCCTACCAGATTTTTCCTAATAAATTTCCTCTTCTTTTTTCACATAACATTTCCTCCCAATAACTATATCCATACCAAGAGATCACCCTACCAATTTTCCTTTTCCAATAATGTACTCATACACAAGACGATCCCCTCTTACCTACCTAAATCGCAGCGCTACCCTAATGCAGAAGGTTCTTGTATACATACAGGAATACTCTCTTGTTCATCTATGGAACAACTATACCTTCTTAGCACATGAACTTCTCATCCTAAGACAATTACTTTCTTTCCTCTTTCCCTCAGTAATTTGCGTTCTCACAAATTATTCTTCAAGTTCATCAAAGTTGCGGAATGCCTCTAAGACAAAGTAAATGCAAGGAGAGCTGATTTTGAAAAAAAAAAAAAAAATTCCTGTTCGGTACTCACTAAAGTTTGTCAAAAGCCCCATTTTTCCTTCAACACTCATCTCACTTCCCCTCAACCAGCATCACCAATTCTAAGGAAAACTCCATCAATAAGAGATGAACACGATCTTATCAAACTACTTAAAGTTGCAAACTGATGCATCAAGGGAGAATAATTATCGTATCCATGAATTGCATCATCGTGGCTAATTTTATCAGCAATAGCACGTCGTAAAGAAAACAACGAAGAAAGGAATTCAAAAGGGGGGAAAATTAATCTAGTAATGAACAAGATCATTAAATACCATGAATGATGCACCACTTGATTCGGCGGCCCTTTGATTACTGCTGTCCATAATAATCAAACAAAATTTTCTGCCAACCCAAAATTGTTTAATCAGCTCATGGCAAAACCTCGAGAATATTAATTGCCAACCGAAAATTGTTTACATCCAAAAGAAAAGTAAAAAACAAAAATTTAACAGAACAAAGAACAAGAAGAAGAAGAAGTGATGGGTACTGGAAATTGACGCTAACGCTAATACTTGCTTGAATGTAAAGAGAATGCAAATTTAGCAGCAGGTGGGGCTTGGTCGGCAGTGAATGGCGGAGAAGGTGGTGGTCCGGCGAGAAACTTCCCGAATGTGCGGCGGATGCAGGTGGGTCGGGTCGGGTAAGATACCGGGTAGAATTGAGAGCCCGGGAAATGATCTCGTTAAGCGTCGTCGGTTTGTTACTTTGTCACCCTGCGCCAGCGGTGGGCTACTAGTACACGGAAAGCATAAACGCGCTTCAAAGAACAGAAGAAATGGTGGAATTTATAGACTTTGAATTTGAGCTTTGAAGAATAGAAGCGTTTCCGATTTTAAAATTAAAACACGACTATTGCTACTGCTGCTGCTGCTGCAACAAGAAAAGAACAGGAAAATACTAAGGCTTTGTTTGGAAAGTAAAATTACAACGTTTTTATGAACACATTTTCCAATCACCTTTTTATCTCACGCATCTCTAATTGCTACAGTAATTTTTCTACAAAAAATCCAGAAAAATACAATCCAAACAAGCCTAAATTTTCCTCTCTCTCTCTCTCTCTTTTTTTTAAAAAAAATTTTGTTATTTCACCCTGCCATCCATATCTTTATTGATTTTGTTAACTTTGGCATGTAATCTCCTTTTTTTTTTTTTTTAATCTCCAATTTGGTATAAGCATTTTAGACCACCGTATTATTGGGTTGTCGTTTTGGGATTGGGAGAGGAATTTGTAACACATTCATCAATGACGTTGCACACTTCAATTACAATGCAAATCCAATCCTGATTGCTCCACATTTTACAGAAAGCCAATTAAGGTAGCACCACTTGGAGTTGGAGTTCCTATCGAAATTGAAGAAACTTTGAGCGCTAGTTAACCTTGGATCATCAGGTTAAGTTGTATAGGAAAGTGAAGCATAAATTAAGGTAGGAAACCGCATTTGGGATTGCAAGTGTTATTATTAGGGTCAATTTCTCACCCCCTGCATGCCCTAGAACTTCTTGTTACATAGTCTGATAGAAATTTGAAGTTAAATCTATAGCAAAAGCTGTTATCAACTGGTAGGTATCAAGTGTTATCTTATCTCAAGATAGCCTTCAAATGCTAGCTAGGCAGCTTAGAGGCTTCGAACGAGGATGCCTTCAAAGGTTATGCCTGGACCAAATGCTAAAGCAAGTCCCCATTCTTCACCACCCTCCTTCTGCAACTCTTCCCTCATGTACTCCATCACATATAATATAGTGTTGCTGCTAACATTCCCAAAGTCCATCAGCGTCCTCCTGCTGCATTCCAGCTTTCCAGGCTTCAACTTGAGGGTGCTTTCTAATCGGTTAAGGATAGCCGGTCCGCCAGGGTGGACAGCCCAAAACAAGTCATTGAAGTCTCCCAAACCAGCTTTGGCCATGAGCTTTTTGCAGAATGCCTCAATGTTGTCCTCAATCTTTTGAGGAAGGTCTCTACCAAGCCTGAAATTTATGCCCTCTTCAGAAAGCCGGCCATCAATGACGTTGTTGGTCCCTGGCAAGAATTGCTGAACTGCATAGTTTAATTCCATGAATGGAGATTCTGTTCCAATTATGGGATCAGCCCCAATGATCACTGCAGCAGCTCCATCACCAAAAAGTGCAGCACCAACCAGATCATAAGGGCGCGCCTTGCTTGGAGGACGGAAGCCAAGTATGGTAGTCTCAGAAGTAGCCAGGAGAACTCTGCTTCCTGGATTGTTTTCAGCAATGTCTTTGGCAACCCTGAGACCAGTAACACCCCCATAACAGCCCAGAAAGTACAGCATTACGCGACCAACATCACTCCTTAAGCCAAGTTCTGTAGCAAGGTAAAGATCTCCTCCAGGCAATCTTATCTCACTTGAGGAAACATAGACAACATGGGTGATATCATCGGCAGGCCTTCCCCATTCCTTGATGCAAGCCAAACTTGCTTCCTTTGCCATCTCTACAACCGCTGGATTTGCAATTTCAAGCCTTTGTTTGATGGTTGGTGAGCCTTCAGTTGTTAGTTCAGGGTATTGGTCAAGGATCTCCCTTGACATCACAGTGTATCTGGTCTTCACAGTAGTTGTTTTACCTGGCAGAAACAGAGCAAGAAAGCGTTACATATTAGACGCCTTTCACTGTGCAAAAACATGTTACATCTCCGAAATTTCAGTTCAGTAGAAGTTTAATTATTTGACAGTTTGATAAAAGGAGAATTAGGCAATGATAGGGGGGAAAAATTTTTTCCTTACACAGGCGCTCTAGTTTCTCCTTGATGGCCGGGTCCACACATTTTGTGTCACGAACGTAGCCCTCCACCAAACAGTCCTGAGGAACGACTTGCCTTGGGAAAGCCTTGCCAATTGAAAGAACTGTAGCTTTCCCAGGAGTTGGGATACGCCTAGAAGTACCATTCTTGTTGAACTGTGACATGGCTAGTAAAGCAGCAAGAAAGTAGTTTAGATTTTGATGACAACTTGGGCAGTGTTCTACAGACTGAAAGCATATAAATTGACAAGCTTTCTGGTTCTTGGAGAAGGGTTGGTGTGAAAGGGCTCCAGCATGAGCAAATTTATAATGCCCAGTTTGCGTTTTGAGGGGATTTTTTCAATTCATGGGCTGAATGTGTGAATTTTCTGGCTCCTTAATTAGATGGAAGACAATCTTGTACTTTCTTTAGTTAATTGCTTGCAACCCAATTCCAACTTACCTTCTTGATCCTCATAAAGAATTGTGTAATTCTTGCATCAACAGGAATAGAGGATATTCCAAAGATAAATAGCAAATTCAAGCACAGGATGAAACCTAGTTTCCCACTCCTGTCCCGCGTTACTCCTACTAAGATTTGGCAGAATAAGAGGAATCTGAAAAAACATTAGCAAATGATGGTATCAGGAGGATCGTTAGTGGATAAGAATGAACAAGTTTCACCTATTAAGTGTGTCTAGGAAGACTTGAGAAACCATCAGTCATCTTTAATCCTGAGTCCTTTACTTCCGCTTGTTTGTTAAAATTCTGACCATGCAACTGGAAATCAATTCGAAGCAAGATGACTGGTGCAAAATCTTGAACAAATGGACTGATTAACTTGTTTATTTAATTGAAGTCATGTGCACCTTTTGTCCATTAACAATTTCATTTTTTTCCCTCGAGGCGCGGGCATCGAGGCATTTACTTTCAGCAAAGCTCAAATGAGCGTCGTTGCATGTTCTATTTATCGGAATTTAATTGAAATGGGTACACACTTTGCCCCCTAACGTCATTTTTTCTCACCTTCTCCTTTGAAACCGTTAGTTTTATCACCGTTAGGTTAGTCGAATTGAATTGAAATTTGACCTAATCAAGTCAAGACTTAACTTATTTTTATCAAATTCAAACTTGACAAACTCAATGTAACAGGCTAACAGCTCGAGCTCTTACTCGACTCAAATTTGAGTCGAGTTCGAACTTGAACTTGAGTTTTAAAAAATTAAAAATTAAAAAATAATTATTTTATTTTTTTAAAATTAAATAAAATAATAATTTTTCTTAACAAATAATAAAATATTAGCTATATATATATATATAATTTTACCATTAAAATAAAAAATAAAAAATATATATATAAATAGTCAAGCCAATTCGCGAGCTAACGAGTTGAGTGTTTTTGAACTCGTGTTCGAATTCAAGTTTGATTTGGTCAACTCAAGTTCGTTATTGACTGAACTCGAGTCAAACTTTGACTCAAATAACTCGCGAGCGATTCGATTCATTTGCAATTCTAATTTGAGTATAATGATATGTAATGGTAATGTCAAAAAGCTATTTATACCCTTAATAGCTGAATGCAGTGATTCCCCTAACTTATTTTCTTTAATTTATCTATTTGGCACTAAAATTGTTAATTAGGACTGTCAATGGGGTTGGGTCAGTTCAAACTCGGCTCATTCGATTCGACAAAAAGCCCGATGAGCCCGAAATTTTAGTGAGTCGGTCTAAGTTTAAGCCTAAAAATTAAGCCTGAATTAAATATGAGCCGAGTTTGGGTCTCATTAGGCTCAAACCCGATATAGATCTGACCCTTTAATTACCTCTATATATATAATATTTATATTTTAATATTATGTATAATTATTACTAAATATTAAATATATATAAATTACAAAACACAAAAATACATTTGAAAACTCTTCTATGAACTTTATTGTAAGGACTTGCAAATTCCCTATATTTCTCGTAAAAATTTCCTTTTATTTGAAAAATATTACTTTATTATAGGCCTACTACTCAATCGCCCTACAATAAGTGTAAATGAATATAGAATTAAGGGTTTTCCCTTTTGTTTTTAAGATAGTGCGAATTAGGGTTTTTACGCTTATCCGTAGTGTGACTATCCGGTACGGAATGTGGATCAAATTTGGTGATTAAGAGTGAGTTTTAGATGATATTAAGTGTGTGATTAGAAGTGATACTAATAAGTTAGCGAATTATAAGTTAAAACCCTAGTATACGCGATTTAAGGAAAATTGACTCGAACCGACGGGTATCGCTCACTACCAATTGAACACACCATTTGACTACCATTTTATCAAGTTAATTTCCTTATTATTAGAGCCTAAATATCAGCCAAAATCTAATCATGGTGGCTGAATTTCTTGAACAAGAGAAAAGAAAAATATTTTGAGATGGAAATTGGTGGTGACAAATGGCACCAATCCAAGAACCTTTGACCCAACCTTAGACTAACCTTCTTAACCTCTTTTGGCTTTCATTCTTCCTCATTTCTTCACCATTTGGCCGAGCTTAGGAGAGAAAAAAAAAAGAAAGAGAGCTTCCAATTCATCTTGAGTTTGAACCATTTGAGTGAAAAAACAAGATTCTAAATTGATTAAACACTAGTTTGGGAGTTTAGGAAGCTTGGAAGCTAAACTTTATAAGGAGTAGTGGAGGATATCCTTTGTAAGTTTGTTATTGAGGTATATTGGCTGTCCTTTATCTTTGGTTCTTTTTTTTTTTGCTTAAGTTGCTATACAACCCATGCTTTGATTAAATTGGTAGCTATTCAAGTAGTTGTGATGATTTTGGGTGCATTAGTAAGGTAGGGTTTTGTATTGTTCAGCCCTATTTCTTATTATGTGGATGGTATATGATGTATACAAGCTTGTATATGAGGTAGTAGTGATGGTTTTGAACTGGAAATGTGAATTATACCTTGAGTGTAACAAAATTCCCGAAGTAAAAATCCTTAGTGCCCTGTTCTGTCCGGTTTTAGTTCACCATGTTAGAGGCCGAATTAGATTTAGCATAAAACATAAAAGTTGTAGAGAATGATGTTTTATAGTTTCCTGCAAAATTTTATCTCCATCGGAGTAACGTAGCCTGTAAAAAGACCGAAATACCCTAACTGTCCTAGGTAAATCCAGTGATCAGTTTTGGATATTTCACCAATCTGGTCGTGTCTTTTCACCATGATATGTACTGAACTAGTATTTATCCAAAACATAAAAGTTGTAGTACTATATCTTAGCTTTCTAATGCCCCTGAGAACGCTTTAATCGGATTTCGGTAGCTTGAGTTATGGCCATTTGCGTGTAGTGCAGTTAACTAGCCTGTTGGAAGGAATCCGATTTTGTAAATTGGGAATATGACTTGGATACACTAGAAACTGGACTAAGTGGTTTTCATCAAAATTGTAGCCCTCTGTCTTAGTTTCGAAACGGTATAATTTGTACCTCAATCTGATAAGCTTAGATTCAGTTGTGTCCGTTACGCAAAATAACGTCAAATCTATCTTTTGTTTCTCGACTCAAACTTCATTTCCGCCCATGTTCCTAGCTTGATTTTATACTTGTATGACTTTGAATATATTGAATGGCTATTGAAATGAGATTATTTTGTGTGTAACTTTGGGACTAAATAAGGAAAAGAATGAAGCCATAAATGACTGAAAAATAGGTAAATACAAAGGACGTGCTGCCCAAATTTATGTTCGAGAACTAGGTAGATATACTTGCAACTTGAGTAAGGATTGAGGGTGATTACCACTTGAACCATCTAAGATATTTGCGTCTTCTTTTATCGAGATATATACGTTTTCCTCGTACTTTCGACTCTAATGGTATTGCCAAGTATAAATGTTACAAAGTTTCATAGTTTGAAAAGCGAGCAAGTGTTTCACGAATATTCTCCGAATGAATTTCAATTACTTGATTCTTGTTAAACGAAACGTTTAAGTTTTGAACTTTAGTCGATTTTCAAAACTCTTAAACGATATTTTCTCGCAGATTTGAACTCCAAATCCGGAGTAATACCCAAACTTAACCCGTAGAGGCACTGCATATTTGGTGAGTGCTTCCAAATATTTGATTAAACTTGACATTTGTGTTTAACACTTGACCAATGTAATTACATGATACAGAAGTGAATTGATAGGGCAAGAGTGTACCTTATCGCACTTGTCCTGATGTGATTTTTCCTTGTTCCTTGATTTCAATTGACTTGATATACATGCATATGAATTGTATCTTGTCTGGAATTCCAGAAACCCTGTGACTAGTTAGTCGAGTCGAGCCGGCAAGGAATTGGTCGATTAGATAACGAACCCTGGGTAGTTAGTGATGTCGAGCGGAGTGTTATCTGCTCGACTAATCAGTATACTCGAGTATTACCACCAATGTTTATTGTGGAGTTTGGGTCCGGTAAGGGATTTGATCGATGGACGAAAATTGGAATTAAGTGGTGTTCTACTGGCCTATTTTCTTACTTGAAAATTGACGGAGTGTCAACTACCAATCGATCAAGTTATGGTGGAACCTATATACGAGCAACTGTATCCTTACATGTGAAATGTGAAATATTTGTTCTTTGACTATATGAAGTGTTATTACTCAATTATTGACTTGATTTGCTCGTTATTTCACTTTTGCACTACTTTTACTTTATTTGATGGCCAATTTGATATTTGGAAACTTCACTGAGTTTTATCTCACTCCATTAGTTTTGTTTTCCTTACAGGGGTACGAGTGAGGCGTAAGACGTGTACAGACTAGCATAGGCTAGATGTTTTGACTTTTGACTTGTACTCGTGCTATCACTGGATTAGAATGATTTGTATTTGGATTGTATACACTATAAAATACCTTGGGTATATAGAAGCTTTGTATCTTGATTTGTGCCTCGATGTATATTATAAGTTTGAATTGTGATGTTATTTATTGTCTATAGATGTACGCGTGAGATACGAGTGAGTGAGTCCTGACGAGAGTTGAGCAGGCGGTCCGCCGAACCCTTTGGTACGCCTTAAGGGGAGGTAGAGTCGTCACATTTATTGAGAGCCAATATTAGTAA